GTTGTGGCTGTTGCCACACCAGCTGCCACAGCTATCAGGAGCACTGGATTTGCTCCTGCTTTGGATAAGATTAGTACAGAAGATGGGGATTGTGTTAATCCCGTTTGCTAAAAAGCCTTTGCAACTACACCTGTCAGCTACAAATTAGTTTGGGAGTTTGAGTGTCCAACGAAGCAAAGAGCTTAATGAAGAACATGGTCCACATAAATCCATTAGGAGTTCACAGAAGATATTTCAAGTCAGGATAATAATAATTAAAAAAAAAAAACACCAGAATTTGTGACATCTCACATTACAGAATAAAAAAGGAAAACATGCACAGAGTTACAACAAAGCATCAAAGCAGAAGCTGTGGCAGAGCTGAAACAGAAACAAGGAGATTAAAGAGCCTTTTTGAGCTAAACCAGACTCTCATGGCTGTTAAGGCAACATCATCATTAGAAGAGAGGGCCTCTGGGGAAAATTCACAAAGATTTAGCTGAGATCACTTGGTTGAGTGAGCTCAGTATTTTGCAGAGGGTAGGAATGAGGTGGGTTGCAGACCTGGTCACTGTAACTGAACAGGGAGCTGATAAGGGGAATATTTTTAGCTGCCAGTTTCAAAGAAAGAAACACATTTTATCAGGACTGTGAAAACCCACTTGGTCAGTGTTCAGTTTTGGCTACCCAGGACTTTGTCAGGAATTGAGCAGCTGAACTGAGACACAGAACATACCCTGTCCCATACATACCTCCTGCCTCTGCTTTCACTGTGCCCTTGATATAATTTGCTCCAAACACTGGCTGCTTAATCTCACAATCCTTCAACAAATAAAAGGGCATCACGAAAGACTGCATTGCATCCTTCCCCTTGGACACAAAGATAACCTGAAAAGGGAATAACATTACAAAAGCTCCTCAAAACAAGCAGGAAGCACAGCCCCGAGTTATTACCTGAAGAGACTTTTGATGGACTGAAACTCCCTCCCACATCATCAGTCCTGCAAGCCAAAAGCTACACAGAACAGCCACAGGGGTAAACCAAAGCCTCAAGGTAATAAGGCCTTCCAAGAAGTGCCTTGCTCAGATAATACTCCTCCCAGCTTCCAGAGAACTGCTGCTCCACACAGCTATGATTTAGTAGCTGTGCTGTTGCATTCAGCATTTCCAGACCATTGCTAATTTCCAATTTGAAGATGCCTGATGGACTAAACAGCTGCCTGTACATGGACTAATCAGATTTATTATCTTTTGACAAATAGGTGGGATATGCAATGAATTCATAATGCCTCCCAGAGGCAGAGGGATGAGCCCCACTTCAAGCAGGAGTAGATTATCCCGACTTTCATGCTCTGAGGATGTTTAAATACAGAATGGCAGAGAGCCTTTATCTCCTTACCCAGGACAAAGCCTTTCACCACTTACCCGGTAGGGAGTCAGGAAAACACTCCCTTTCTTGGTCCCTTTGAAGGCCTCTGGCATCAGTTCCATGTCACTGAAGGTAATTTCTACATGGTCATACGTCATCAGAACACTGCCAACCACGAGAGAACAGACAAGTGTTAAGGCCCAAGGTAGAAGTGCAACATGCACATAAAGTTTACTGACCTACCAAACCTGCCCGTTCCCTCAGGCCCGTGCTGAGCAGACAACATCAGTCTGGTTTGCTTTTTTATTCTGTTGGCAGCAGCAACTGAAGGAGCACTGGCTGCTGGTTCCCTCCTCGGTGTGCTGACACAGCTGCTGCTGTCTGTGTAGCCGCGCAGGGAATCCACTCGATTGAGCTGATCAAGACCTCAAGACATTTCCTTTCCTTTTATTTATTTATTTATTTATTTTTGAAGTTGTGTTGCATTTCGCCTGGGTCAGTTCCCTAATCCAGTTCCCACATGACAGGGGAAGGGCTGCAGGAGCAGGAACTGCTCAGCCTGGCTTATGCAACGCTGGTTTTTGAAGGTCTCACCACAGCTCAAGCACGTCTGTCACAAAAATGTGACCAAAAGGAATTCCCCCTTCCTTTCCACAAGATCTCATTAACCCGTGTTGCCTGCACCGATTCCTTAATTCTCAGTTAGAAACTGACCTGATTAAAACCTTGCACGGACACAGCAGGTAACTTGTATTGACACAACAGCACCCACATTAGGGACTGTAATCCCTAAAGCTGCAGAAACCTCCACCACCTCTATCTTTGGCAGCTGGCATGTTTCCATCCTCAGTCACTCGCCTTTGCTTTCTGCCAGCAAGTACCTGTCCCTCCAGGAAAAGCTCTGGAAGCACAGAGGGGCCAGCTCTGCCCAGGCTGCAGCATTCCAGCTGGATCAGCCTAGGCTGCCACAGGACAGGCAGCTCCGGATCCAGGGCAGGCTCACAGCTGGGAACAGCAACACTTTTAAGCTGCTGCAGTTGTTTCAGCAAATGCAAATTCAAGCACCAGAGTCGATCTTATGAAATCCTTCCAAGAAAGGCCACATCCCAAGGGGAAGTCGGGCGCAGGATTCCTACGCCGACGCTTAAGTGGCCCCACGGAAAGAAGCCCTGAAGGATGAAGCCCTCCCTCCTTTGCCCCCGAGGCAGAGGACTCCTGTGACTGCCACGTCAGACCCAGACAGACGGTGCGGGCAGCCCCTGGCCGCGCACACAGAGGCAGCTCCGTGCAGGCTTGCCGTTTCCATGGTTATATCCCAGCACCTTTCTCCAGCACTGCTGCTCCTTCCCCAACACACGGGGCCAGGAACCAGCAAACCACGCCGGGCCTCTGAACCGGGACACGATGCAGGTGCAGCAGGCGAGAGGGGCATCCCGGGGGGGGGATCCCAGACGCCCTGGGTGGGAGCGCTGGGGCTCTGGCAGCCCTCCTGGGCACCTGGTGATTGGCGGCGGGATCCCAGACCACCCGGGTGGGAGCTGGGCTCTGCCAGCCCTCCCTGGGCACTGGGGATGGCGGCGGGAGGCGGCAGCAGGCGGGGGACGGGCGGGACACTGCGGGGAGCGGCGCGGGGCCCGCGGCTGAGGCCCAGCACAGCTCCCCCCGGGAAGGCCCTGGGGCAGGGGGGTGCGAACAGCCCGCAACCCGCAGGGAGACGAGGGGAGGACAAGCAACGCCGGCACCTTTTCATCCCCTCACCGCCCCTCTGCCCACAGACAGCTGCTCCCGCTGAGGGGGAAGGCAGGAGGAGGGCGGGGGGGGGGAAAGGCAGCTCCCGCGCTACCCCCCGGCCGCCGCGGCCGAGGAAGGAGGAGAAGGGGATAGCACCTCACTTCTCGCTGTTGTTAACGATGACGCCTCCGCCCTCCGAGTGGTTCTTGTTCAGCGCCATCGCCGCCTCCTCCTCCTCCTCACAGCATCCACCGCGCTCTGCGCCTGCGCGGGAAAGGGGTGACGTCACTGGGCGCGCGGGACATACTGGGAATTGTAGTCCGCTCAAAACACGCAGCACTGCATTCCTTTTTGCTGCGCGGTGCACCCTGGGAGTTGTAGTCCGTACCCTCCCCGCTAAGAGCCTTCTGGTTTGGTCGCGCGGTGCGTCCTGGGAGTTGTAGTCCGCCCGCCAGTCGCCATGACACCCACACCCCGCCCCTCGGGGAGCAGGATGTCATGGCGGCCGGCGGGCCGCCCGGGGACTCGTCCGCTGTGTATAAATAATTGCGATGTCTGGTGGAATAAAATAAAAATAATCCCGCATAGTCGGTGGTTCTGCACATAGAATGAGGTTTAGCCCCTTTAAACAGCGAAGAGGCTTCCAACAAATTCTTTTTGTCATTTACGTTTAAGGCACTTCTCATGTTTCACACAGTTGCAAACGGATTTTTGAGCCTGATACTGGGATGGTTTCCGTGCTGGAATCGAGCACATCCGAAAATTACCCCTTTATATTGGAGCGTGTGGTAAACTGGAAGGACTAACCAGGTGCCCGATAAACAAGCAAGGACTCTGTGTGTGTGTGTGTTTGTCCGTTTGTCTGTCTGTTGGGAATCTGGGAGCAGCGAAATACCTGTGGCATTTGCAGAGCTGCAGGGAGGGTCTAATCTCCCGCCTCCAGGTGTGCAAGTAGGAGGAACTCCTAAAAATTAATGATTGCATAGTTTCATTAAATACAGGAGCCCTGCAAAACTTTTCAACTGTTTTGAAGGGCTCCCTCAGATCAATAACTGACAACTGTATATCAATAATACACAAATAAGAACATATATTACCCTAAATTATATCTTTTTCTATAGGTTCGAGCTTTTCCCTGCAGGGTTTGTAGCCCAGCCCCGTCTGAGTGCCTGAGAACCAGATGCAGAGTAGGAGGGAAAAGCAGAGAAACTTAAATAATGGAAACAAGATTTAAATAAATACAGTGACATAATCTGTACAGTTCTTGGCAAGAAAAGAACAAGTTTGTGCTTTTCATATCCGCTTCTTCAGTAAGCAGTAAGTTTCCCTTTTAAGAAACAGCTCTAACAAACAGTCCTGATTCTTCTCCTATTAAAGTCAGGAGCAGAATCCACTCGGCTGCCACCGAAGTGCCCAGCTGAGGCATTGCTGCTTTGCACGAAATATCAAATAACAATCAAATAACTCACCAATTAACATTTTTCTCTTAGCTGCAGCTGGCATTTGGCATTAAGAAATGCACTTAAAAAAGGATGTTGGTGTAATTGCCAGTGTGTAGGGGAAGCTCTAGACCTCCTCATAGCATAGGAAAACCTTGAAAATTTATACTCTAAAACTTGAAAACACAAAGGAAAAAAAAACACCTAATCTGTTCATCTTTGTTGTTTCTAAACTGAGGACAGACACAGAAGAGAAGACTGAGACAATTCATTGTTTTGAATTGCCCAGGGCTGACAATATTGTTATTGGATTTTATTATTCTTCCGCTCCTTTTGCAGCCAAGCAATAAAGATGTGTATTTGGCACAATTCCCTTAGACAAACTTGGAAAATAAAATCTGCGTACAGGACACAGAAAAATAAACACGAGATAATGGGACAACTCGAACGGTTTGGTAATTAAAGGAAAGACAACCCAGAGCGATATCTGTACGGTATTTAATGGCAAATCATAATCTCTAACATCATTATATTATTCTGTTACCATTTATTCACACACTGTAAAATACTCTACAGTAGCTATATTTAAAAAATCCTAATTAAAGAGAGGAACACTCTGTGACAGCAGAAATAACTCAAGGGAACACGGAAAGGCTGTTTAAGTTGCCAAGTGCTATCAGTCCATCTAAACTCATCTCACACCGCATTTAGCCCTTTGTTTACACCAAAATCAGGGATCCAGAGCTGGCGTTGTGCACGTTTCCCAGTCATTCCAGTTTACACCCCAAATTATTGGCAGCACGGAGCAAACTCCAATCCAGCTCCCAGGGGGATTGCTCCTGTCTTAAATCGGTCCGAATTTGCTGCATGCCCTAAACCAGGAGGGTTTATAGCTCTTCCAACCAGGACAAAAGCAAGCAGCAGGAAGGGGAGGGTTGGACAGCACTTCCCAACTGCAGCACACCCCCAGGAACCCCCCAAACGCTCCGTGGAGCTGCATCCCAGCATCCCAGCTCCCGAGGCAGGGATGAGTTCAGCCAAAACAGTAGCACAACCAGGCACAAAGCCTGAACACCAGATGTGTCCTCCTGAGCTGCTCCCGCGTGGTGACAGGATGGAAAGAGACAGGATTAGGATCCCCCCCGAACCTCCCAAACCCTGAAGGAGTTTCGAGGTTTGTGCATGTGCAACACGGGGAAGGGCGGGATGCGCGGCTCCAGCGTGGGTTTCCCCTCGGAGCAATCAATGCAAACGAAACAGGGCAAAGACCCAGATCTGCTGTGTTTACTCTGGCAAAACTCCTCGCCGCAAACGGTGGGAGTTTTGCCTGAATAAATGAGATTTAGGGCTCAGACAGAGCCGAGATGGGGGCCCTCATGTGACATCCCTTCCTGCAGGCGAGCGGCAGAGAGGAAGGTTACCTTCCTCCTCCTCCCAGGACGTGACCACGAGCGAGCAGGCTGCTGCATGCCTCTACCTTTCTTATCCAGTAAGGAATTTCCGATCCCAAGTTCCCCTCGGTGTTCACAAAGCAGCAGCGACGCCTGCACTGTGTCACCGCTGACATCTCGTGCAAGGGCTGAGCTCTGCAGGAGCGCTGTCGGTGCCAGCCAAACAGAGCGGGTCTGGAGCTCAGGGCACAGGGAATGAATTCCCATCTGGACAGAAGTCTGGGCCGCATTCCCACCAGCCAGGAAAGGCCAAGATTTCAGCTGAAGATTTCACCCTGGAAGCCCTACTGCTCCCTTCCCCACTGCTTGCAGCATTTTAGGAGTCACCACATGTGGAGGAGGAGGAGAAAGAATTTCCAGACAGATCCCAGCAAGCCCCTGCCCTGGCAAAGGGTTGCCTACATTCAGACCCTTCATCCACTCAGATGTCCCAGTTTTCTGGGGACTGGCACCTCTTCCTATGCCAGCAGGAATTGGCAGCACTGGCAAAGGAGTCACAGTAAAGGAGCTCTTTAAGCCTCAGTGTGTAAACGTGGCTTTACATGTAAACGTGGCTCTAACTTCAAACCTCTTGGCTTTGTGCCTGCCTTTTATTCATGTTCACTTTTTTCCCTTGGCTCCCCCTGAATATACCACTATGATTTCCAGCTTATCCTTTGGGGAAAATATATATATATTTCATATATTTAGCTAAAAGGGTCATTTTCCACCCCTGCTGACTGTTGCTGCGTCATCACTGACTCGCTCATGCCAGCAAAGAGCCTGAGCCTCTATATTTTCTCTCTAGGTGTATATTACACAGCACTACAATTCTGTAAAGCAAGCTTTGGGAGGTAGGTAGCAAAATAATCCCAGAAAAAATAAACTTGTGGAAAGGTACACTGTGCTGAGACAGGGGCTGCTCTGTGCCACCCATACAGGCAGTATTTCTGTGTTTTTCTTCTGAAAAAGCTCCCTTAGGACACATCAACTGGCATTTTTGGCTCTCAGTTTCAAGTTTCCACCTTTCCTGAAGGGAATAGTATTCTCTCTTGCTTGAGAGTAGTTTTTGTTAATTGTTACTTATTTCCAGAGCCTAAAGGGTCATTTAGTAACTGACTGATGCTGCATCTTTTATTGATGCGCTCACAGCTGTCCCTAAAACAGACCATTCGTCCCTGGGACATATTCACAGCATCTCTGTCACTTAAAAAACTCTCTAAGCTAAGGGGCACATTTGCAGCTCAAGTGTACCCAGGATTCTTGAAGAGCTGGGAGTTTAACAGCATTAAAATCCTTTAAAATAGTAGGGTCAACAAAAATGAGGGGGGAAATTTGGCTGTAAAGCTTTGGGAAGCAGTTCCCAAGGAATGCATCTACTGAAAGCACATCCTCAAAATTTGGTTTGTGCTGCTCCCCTCACCATCTCCAGACAGGAAGTTTCTCCCTTTCCCAGCTGGGATTTTCAGCTGTGGTGGGGATCAGACCTGTGGCCACAGGGCTCCAAAACACGCAGGACCATGGCTTTTCCCAAACCAGCCTGGCCACAGAGCAGCATCCCAAACACCCACTGGCTGCAGTGCAAGGAAGGGCACACATCTTTGTTTCATGTTTGCAGCACTAGTGGGTGGCCAGCCCAGCAAGGAGTGGTGATGCATCACCACAGCATCACCCAGCACCCTGCCAGGCTCCTCCACATCCCTCTCACGCACGCCAAGGCACGGCGGTGATGTGGGCACTGCTTTGGGGTTTCACCTGGTCCACACTGGGCTTGCTGGGTCAAAGGCACTTCATAAGGAGCATGTGGAAGGTGTCAGTGAGCCAGCACTTAAAAAAGCATCAGTGACACAGAGCCCGAGATAAGGCACAAAGCAGAGCATCTGTGCAAGTCGCCAGGGCAGTGCGAGCACATGGGAAGGAGGGGGACTGGGCAGCTGGCCAAGGTACAGCTTCAAACCCATGTGGCACTTCTCCCGAGCAGCACACTTTACCAAGAAAGGCTTGTCACAGTCCCTGATGTCCAGAAAGGGAAGCTGAGGGGCAGGGAGCAGCACAGAGACTCACCCAAGTTCACTCAGCAGCCCAGCGGCAGAGCCGGCGCTCAGATGCAGCCCTATCCTGGCTCCCAGCCCGTGGCTCTGCCCGCCAGACGGCTTCATCCAGCCCTGGGTCACCAACAGCACAGACAGGAGGGAGGGCTGCCACAAAGACAGACAAAGGGAGGCCGTGATGGTGGCAATAACCTGCAGGAGAGACTTTTCTGGGCCTTCCTGCGCTCCCGCTGTCCGGGCAGTTACCGGCGCTTTAGCACCGAGACACAGTCCTTCTTCAGCGGCCCGATCTGCAGGTGGGCATCGACGCTCTCCAGGAAGAAGGCTGGTTTCAGCTTGCACGAGAAGAGAGAGCCAAAGTGGTGGTTGATCTTGTTCTGGAACGGGTCAGCCTTTCCCTTGGTGAAAGGGGAGACCTTGAGCTGCTGCAGGCAGGTCATCTTGGAGTCCTTGACTCCGTAGAAGGTTAAGGCCTTTTCCGAATACTCCAGGAAGACCCCGATCGTTTGGAAGAACGGCTGCTGGATGACGGACTCAAAGCCCCCAAACCAGGCCACGTAGTTCTGCCCGTTCCACTGGAGGCAGCAGGACCTGTCGTTGCGGCCCAGGCGGCCCCGGTTGTAGGCCTCCCGCGGGTCGAAGTCCTCGGCGATGACCCCGATGCTGACCCAGCCGTCGATGAGCTCCACCTCCCAGTAGTAGTTGCCCCTGTTCATGAGGTTCAAACCCAGCACCTGCTCGCAGTTGATGAAGCGGGTCGGGCTCTCCGGGTAGGGGATGGGGCACAGCACCCGCTTGGCCCCTTTGGTGCCGAACAGCTGGATGAACTTGTCAGCCGTGTCGCTGTCCAGGTCAATGATGAAGGCAACTGGGTGGGGCAAGAAGGAGAAATGAGGATGAGGAGGGAAATCCTCCCAGCCCTCCCTGCTCTGATCCCTCTGCCCCAGCCTTTGACAAATAGCATGATCCTTTCTGACTTGTCCTGTCACTCCCCTTGCTTTTAAATCTCGTGTCAAATTTCAGTCAATGAGGATCAGGGACTGAAAGAGCTGATACTCCCATAAGCAGGATGAATACAGGGCAGAGGAAGGAATAGAGGGGCTGCTCAGTGAGCTCAGCTATGATACCATGACATCAGAGCATCCACCTGACAGAGTGGTGGTAGGAAAATCCCATATAAAAGCAGATTTCAGGTAACCACAGACAAACCTGGCAGGGAGAGACCCTGAGAAGACAGGAGACCAACCAGGCACGTCACAGCTACAAACTGACCGCTCCTTGTGGTCAGCTTGCAGTGCACTGTGGCTCCCACAGGAGCAGATGCAGCCCCCAACATGCAAGGCCATATGAGAACCACCACTGGATCACAAACAGATCCAGTGGGAACAGCCCTGGATATCTGTTGCTATCGATTGCATTGCACGTCTGAACCATGGTGTGTCCCAACCCAACAGCAGCAGCAGAGCACACCAAGCTGAGCACAGATCCCAGTGGGCTGCACTGTGCCACCAAGGCAGATCTTGTCCCCTGTGGACATCCCTGTGGTGACCCCATAACCCCTGTAAGGTTGGGGGGACACACACGTGGAGTGTGGGAGCTCAAGCCCAGCCCTGCACCCTCCAGCCTCAGCCCCTTGTGCCCCACCCTGCTCAGCCACTGCATGATCCCTCTCATGCTGCAGCTGACCCTCACCAGCCCAGTGCTCTGCAGCAAACAAGGCAGATGCACAAACTCTGATCTAATTTAGTGGAGGATCCAATTTTGTCAAGGGCTGGAAGGCAGCAGGAATTACACTGGATGCCTTCAGACCCCCCGGGGCAGCTGGGCCAGCAGAACCACAGACAAGGGAAAAAAAGTATCACCAGTATAACCAGACTATGACCGTTGTCAGGAAAGCAAGGAGGCTTCCTTGTTTGCCAAGCAATATTTCCTCTGGTGGTGGCAGCGCTCCTGCCAGCTGTCGGCTCGGGATCAGCGCCGGCCGGGCATGTGGGAAGGAGAGAGGAAAGGGAAGGTGGACCTTAGCAACAACTGTCAAAGCAGAAGTCCCTCGCTTACATTTCAGGAAATAATCACGGCTCTCCAGGCAGGCGGGATTGTTTGACTTGTCTGGAAACCGGGATTCAGCCAACACTGCAGAGACAGGGACGGAAGGGTTTGCATCAGCCAAGGAACCAAACCAACAAGGGTGTTACTGCAGCATCACCCCTTGCCCAGCACCCTGGTGGTACCCAGCTGACGTGGCCCCCCGTGCCTCCTGCATCCCCACTCCCCCTGCACATCCCTGATGGCTCCCACACACAAAAGGACAGACACCACCTCTGCCACCCCAGGGAGACGGGCAGCGGGGCAAGGAACTGGCTGCAATTCCCATGGGAATCTGAGCAAATGAGTGAGGAGAGAGCTCAGGTTAAATGAGAGAGCACAGGAGAGAGCTGCCACACTGGCTTTCTATCCCTGGCAGTTTTGGGAGATCACAGCCTGCCCCATGAAGAGGATCATCTATCCTGGGAAGAAGAGTCCCCTTTCACGAGAGGCCACTTTGGCCACTTGCCCTCTCCCGCAGGGCCCTGCCTAACTCCCAGGCTGTTTGTTGCCTCTCCAGCCTCCGGTCTCTGTGGAAAAATTCACAAAACCTCAGAGGCGTAAGCCCAGACAGGGATTGTGCAACGTGCAGGGAACCCGTGCTGAGCAGCTTCCAGGGCTGGAGGGAGAGGGGCCAGTGCTCATGGGGGACATCGAGCCCACAGACATCTCCCAGCTATGCAGGGAGGAGGGGGAGGGTGATGGGGAGACCTCCAGGCAGAGGCACTGGGTGAGCACAAACCTTCCTCCATCTCCTGGTAGTTCAGCCCATCAACTCCTTTCCCCTGCAAGTGGTTCCACTGGTTTTTGCAGGCAGTGGACAGCACATCCTTCACAGCACCCACGACTTGGGTGCACTTGGTGAAGTTCAGCTCGTTCTGGAAGCTCGGAGCTGGGGAGAGCTTTTCTTCCATGGCTACTTTTAAGGCCTGAAATTCCTGAGCCAAAAAAGACGGAGTTTCAGGAGTTTTCAAACAAGCCAAAGTTGTCTCTTGTTCCGCAACCCCACCCAGCCCTGGAGGATTTGGGAACTGGCAGCTCTGATGGACTTGGCCCAAGGACAGCCTTCACAAGGGAGGAGAGCTCTTTCCCAGCCACATGTTCCTGGAACCTGCTCTTAGCTCCCTTTCAAACCTGGGCCCAGACCATGCCCACCTCACATGGAGCAGCATCTCCTCCCGAAAAGGTCTCCTCTTGCTGGGCTGTCAGGGAGGGGGGAAGGCTAGAGGGGGGCAGTGGGGCACCCCAATCTCTTGTTCTCTGCCCCTCATGCCCAGGTACCCAGCCTGGGCAGCACATCAGCTTCCCCTGAGTCACAGACAGGATGGAGGAGAAAGTCTTGGCTGCCTGGTCCTCCTGGGAGCGGGGAGGGGAGAGGACTGTGCCAACAGCAGTGAGACTCTACAGCCCACACATCCCAGGGCTCCTCGCCCCCAGCTCCTCAGGAAATGGGACAAAACCCCAAAAGACAATACTACTGGCTCCTTCTTGCCCCATCCCACCTGGAGGAAGTAGATGGTGTCAGTGCTGGTGACGTTCTCCAGGTTTTGCTTGCCCTGGGCCAGCTTGGCTCGTCTCTCCTCCTTCCAATGGAGATCAGCCTCAGCCTCCCCCAGCATGGAGCGCTCCCCGGCCTCGATGAAACCTGTCACCTCCTTCTGGAAGGTTGCCAGGACCTCAGAGGCTTCTGCAAAGAGCCTCTCGACCCTTTCCTTCTCCTTCGTGGCAGCACCCTGAGTGCAGTGAGAGAGAGGTCAGGTCCCACAGGTGAAGGTGCAGGAAGGCACCCTTGTCCCCTGCCCAGCACCCACCTCTCAGCTCTCTGGGGTCCCCCTGACACCCTGTCACTCCCTTCATCCAAGAGCTCAGATCATTTCACAGTTCACCTATCAAGGGATCTGGCTGGGCACAGCCACTTAACTGCTGCACCACGCCTGGTGTCCCCAGGCAGTGAAGTGACGTGGTGGCACAAGGGCCAAAGGGGACCAAACCCCTGTGAGCCCGAGGAGAAAAGGTGCAAGAGCCAGAGGATGTTCTGGCATAGTCCTTGCCCTGTTCCTTCTTCCAGGTTGCAAACAAAAGCAACCAGAGATGCTGTGAGGGTTAGCAGAGACGAGGAGCAAAGAATCCTCAGGGATGCTTGCCAGGGTCACTGTGGTTTTATGGAGCACGTTGCCCTGTGAGCACCAACTCTACACCCCACACACCCCAAAAGCTCACAGCCCCTTCCCCTCGCTCCCCAGCCCAGCAGAGCTGCACTAGCAGAGCAAAGCCATGGCACAGTCACCTTAATGAGCTCCACCAACTTCTTGGCCTGCGCGATGGTGACTGCCAGCTCCTCCAGCTCATTCTCCACATCGCTGAGGAATTTGGCTTGTTGGGCCTGTGGACACAAGGGACAAACACTGAGCTTTGCCCCCGATCCCACAGGGAGCTGCAGGACACCCAGCCTCTCCCTAAGTTCAGCCTTCTCTGACCACGACCTTGCTGTCAGGCTTCGAGTGAAGGATGCAGGGGGAACCATGAGTTGTTTTCCTGTTTTCTTTCCCTGCAACATCCAACCTGCAAACATCCCTTCTCCCTGGGCTGGGAAACCTTTAAAGGAGCAGCCGGGCTACAAAGGGTCATGTCCAGTTCCATGCTCCCCACCCTGGTCCCAGCAGGAAACCAAACAAACAGGAATTTGAAAGCAAACCCATCAGGCAGTGATTGCAGCAAAGCCATGTGCTCTCAGTGTGTATCCCAAGGCTGGGGAAAATACACCTGGGACTGGTGGAGAAGCTGAAAGGCAGAACTGGACCACTCAGAAACACAGCACAGAGTCCCCTGGGGGTTTCTCTTTAGGAGCAAAGCAAACCAGCTCTGGAGCACAGAGGTGCTGCATGGCTGCAAAGGAAGCACCTTCCAAACACGTCGTTTCCTGGCGTGCTATTGTTGGCGCCAGCCATTGCCCATCACGAGTTCCCTGGGGAGCCAGGAGGGCACTGCACTTCCCAGCCGGGGCAGATCCCCGCTAGTGCTCGGCCTCCTGGCCCTGCTCTCTGCAGTGCTTGTCCCCAGTGAGGGGATACAGGTGATTTCCCCGTCCATCCTTCCCAGCCTGCAGCGCAAGGGCAGTGGCAGAGGCCATCTAGGAGACGTTAAGCAGTGTCTGCTGAGGTCTGACAGCTCCCCCGGGCTGGGATCACACTCACTTTCTATTTTAAGGCACCTGATGACTAATAATGCCGACAGAAGGGTTTTCCTGCAATCCCAAGAACCCGCAAGAGAGTGGGAGCTGGCTCGGGGCTGTTTCTGTGCTCCCTGCCAGCATGTCCACAGCCCCTGGGCTCTTCCTTGGAAAAAGCAAATCCTACCAAGGTCCCCAAATGCAAACCCCTGGGCTCTTCCTTGGAAAAAGCAAACCCTACCAAGGTCCCGATGCAGGGTGTCACCACACCACAAGCCTCACAGACTCCCATCTGCCTGCAGCCCCACAGAGGCCCCACACATTTGAGGTACCACCGTCCAGGAAGGCAGCACCACGTTGGGCTTGGAGCCCCGACTCCCGGGGAGGCTCGTGGGTGTGAATTTAGGAGGTGACTCAGTCACATCTGGGAATGGGAGTGATGGAAAAAAACCCCGCTGCCAAAACGCCGGGATACAAAGGGCTGGGGGAGCGGGAGCGGCGGCCGGGCAGGCTGCCAGGAGTCGGGAAAAACCGCCTCGACGGAGCTGTGGGAACAAGACGGGGGAGGCGCGTGCCCTGTGACCGCGGGGGCGGCCACTGCAGGGTGTCCCAGGCACCCCCACCCCAGCCCTACACCCACGGGATTTCCACAGTGGGAAAAATCCCCAGGGGCCGGCTGGCAGCGGGTCCCCAGCTGCCCACCCTGTCCCCACCTCACGGGGTTCCCCGACGGCACAGCACCCTGTCCATACGGGGTGGGGTCCCCCGAGGGGTGTGGGCTACAGCACCACCCCACACACGCCATCCCACCAGCGCGGCACCTGCACACACCCCACGTGGCGATTTAGGCTCCCCGCTGGGGGCAGGGGGGCGGCATGAAACCCTCCAAGGGACGCTGCACAACCCACCCAGGACCCCCAACGCAGGGTCGCACCTCACGCGGGGGGACCTGCCGCGCACCCCCCTCCACACACCCACTCCGCACGACCTCTTGTGCTCAAGCACCGCTCCTGCTCGGGGGCAAACACGTCGTGGGCGCGAAGTGCTCGTTGGGGGCGGGCAGCCGGGCGCACACGAGGTTGCTCGGCGTGGCAGAAGCGTCGAAGGGGCTGCAGGTGGCGGGGGCACAGCCCTCCTCAGCCGGCGCAGCGGGGCACGAGGCGGTGGGCGCGGAAGGCGGGGGCGCGGGGTGCGCTAGGTGGGTCTCCGGCAGAACGACACGCAGGCACACCAGGCGCGACAAGACGGCGCGCGCGCCCGAGACCGGCGGGCACACGTCGGCACAGATCGGCCGCTCCGCCTCCCCTCGCATCCTCCTCCTAGGCTCCTGGGCCATCGCGACGGCGGGACGAGCCGCGCGGTGGCGGCCGCAGCAGCGGCAGGAGCTCGGCAGAGGGCGTTCTTGCGAGCCGAGGGACGCGGGGACCGGCTCTGGCAGAGGGGCTAGCGGGCGGCCCCGCTCCCCGCGCCGTCGGGGGGCCGGCTGGCTGGCGGAGGCCCGAGGCAGCCCTGGCGAAGTTGTGCCCGCACGGCCGCACCGGTCAGCAGTACGTCAGGCAGATGGGGGCATCCGCAGCCGAAGGACCTCGTGAGCCCGGGCAGCCAGCGCCAGCGCAAACGCCGCGGCGGAGGACGGCGGGGCACTCCCGGCGCAGATCCATCCCTGAGGGCCCCGGAGCGTCCGCGCGGTCCAAGCCCCGGGGGGGCGGGCGCTGCCGGCCCTCGCCCGCCCTCCCTCTCACGCGCCCAGCTGGGGCTCCGTCGCGCGGGGTGGGGCTGCGGCACCATCAACCCTGGACCTGGTTCCAGGCACCGCGTTACTGGGGGTGTTCAGCCCCTTGGACCTGCTTCCCAGTCACTCGTCTTCCTGGCGAGTTCTCACCCCTAGGATTTACCCCCACCGGGCATCTGCTTCCTCTCCCCGGCATCTGCTGCCTTCAGGGAGATCTCCCCCCAGCCCTCCAGGGGATGCCACCCCGATAAAGATGTACTGTCCCCCCAGCCTCTGGGGGAGGTCTGCCACCTCCTAAAGGATCTGCCCCACTGGGATCTGGACTCTTCCCAGAGTTCTGCTGCTCCCAGGGGAAGCTGCTGCCCCTCCCCAAATCTCCCATCCCGGGAAGCTGTAGCCAGCCCATTCCAAACCCACCCCAAAGGGTCTGCTGTCCTCTGTGAGCATCCCCTTACCCCAGGACCTGCTGCCACCCCACCGCTCCCCAGGAGCTGCTCCCCACCTTGAGGCCATATGGGAGGTCCTGGCCCCCCCTGTGCATAACTGCGGGTGCTTTCCTGCCAGCCCCGTGCCCTTGGACCCACATCAGCCATTCCCATGGAAAAAAGGGCTGGCTCAGTCCCTGTCCCCTCTTCCGCCAGGGCCCATAAGACACCAAGCAAAGTGCTTTGAGTGTGAGGATCTGCCTCATAAGTATGGTGTCTCCAGACCCCTCCTGTGCAGACCATTTTTTGACTTGGATAAGTTCCCAGGTCCACGCTGGCCCAAGGACAGGGCTGGGAGGGTGGGGAGGTGTGGAGTGAAGGAGGAAACATGGCAAGAAAAATCACATCTGTTCTTGCAGAAGGGGTTTGATCCTTTTAAGCCTTTTGTCCCCAAAGGAAACAATGATGTTATTCATTCCCCATGCATTCACCTGCACATCCCCAGCACCTTTGATCCCAGTGCCCAGTTTCACCCCGTTATCCCTCACCAGCGTTCCTGAGGGAGCAGGAGGAGGCGCCGGACCTGCGGTCTCGCCCTTGGAAAAGCTTCAATCAAAACTTCAGAATTTTCTTCTGTGCCAGATCAGCCTTGGGGCAGAGCCATAGGAAACCAGGTTTCCTTATCACAGTGCTGCGGTAAATAAAGGACCCTTTGGTTCTTCCGCCAGCTGGTCCCTCCAAGGGGCTGGTCCCCAACCCCTCGAGGACATGGAGGGGCAGGATGGGGCCCTGCAGGGATGGGTGCGGGAACAGGGGCACCCAGCTTCCCTCCCCTTCCCCCTATGCTGCTTGGTCCTGTATCTCCCACCAGCACTAAGGTCAAACCTGTAGGGAAATAGAGCTTTGTTGAGAAAAGCAGCATCATACAAAGAACTGCAGCATAGAATCATGAACAGTTCCTCTGCCATGTCCGAGAGTGGCAAGAGGGGACTGGGAGGGGCTGGGGGAGCAGGACCTGCCTGCATGTGAGGCTGGGCGAGCACAGGGCTCCCTCTGCATTGCTCCACAGCACTCTGTGGCAGCAGCACCCTTTCTACGCTCTCCCTCACCCCAAATATTCTCCAGGCTTGGGAGGTTTGGCAGGGATAGGAGAAAGGGAAAAACTTAATTCTTTCACTCCCTGTTTCCCCCTCCCTTGCTCCGTCTGCAGGGACAGGCACCCACATGTGCCCCCACACACAGTGACCAGGGGCTTTGCCCACAGGGTGAGCTCCAGCCCTGCCTCCTTCCACTTCCCTTCGTCAGCAGCGTATATTTGCATATGCAGATTAAATCGGTTAATTTTCATGTCTGTCCTCATCAGCTCTCATTAAAATCGGTATCGAGGTCCCTCCTGCACTGTGACAGGTCCTGGTTGCAGGTTGGCTGTGGCACCAGCCGGGCTGATGGATCAGTGTGGCGGCTCTAGCTCGGTCCCTCCAGCACAGCGTCACCACTCGGCCCTCACACAGCCAAAACACAGGGTAGAGGGGCTTCGTGAAGACATCGTGGAAGGAGTGGATGAGCTGCATCCTCTCCCCGAGGCCGTAGAAGGAGAGGAGCCCCTTGCCATAATCCAGGCTGACCCCCAGGTTCTTGTACAGCTGCTCCTGGATTTTCTCCGCCTGGCCGTTATGCCAGGCCAGGTAACAATCCTCCCGCACCTGCAGCCCCCACGAGCCCCCGTCCAGCCCGATGTTGAACTTGTGGCCCCGCTGCTGCTCCCAGGGGAGGCCCCAGTAAGTCACCCCCAGGATGACGGAGTGGCTGGAGATCTCCACCTCCCAGTAGTGGTGTCCTGAGCCGTAGCTCTGCGTGCACAGCACCTGCCAGGGCTCGAAGCGGGGTCCCTGTCCCCTGTACATAGGGGTGGTGCAGTGCTTGGCTTTCCGGGCACCTCTCGACAGCTCCAGGTACTTGTTGACCGTCTCGGGATCGAAGGTCAGGTTGCGGTGGTCTGGGAAGAGCAACAGCATGGGTGGGGCTGAAAAGATTCATCAGATCTTTATGCCCCTGGTGTGACACACCCCCCCCAGCAGTGATGGGGTTTAAACTGTGTAGGGCTGGCTCCCGAAACAGAAGGGAACAAGTTTGTTTGGAGGGGAAGGTGAGCGAGGTGAGATGAGATACCTGCCCTGGAAGGGAGAGAAGCAGCCCAGAGAGAGCTGGCAAGGCACTGAGACACGATGCTTCACACAGTCCTTGCACAGCCCAGCTCACAGCCAACAAATACCAGCGGCTCCATGGCCATTTTGGAAGAGATCTTGGTTTTATGAGCAAAAAAATACGAGCGTGGGTGGCGAGGGGGGGGAGAAAACCAGGCAAATAAATATAGTATTGCAGGGAGTTACTCTCCTGTGCATGGGCTGTTGTAACTCCTGCCATGGGCATTCACTGGTCACCAGCACATCACCTTCCTCCCACAGCAACCTGGCCCACAGCTCACTGGGCTCCTGCCTTCTGCCCATAAATAACGGGGGTTTTCCTATTAATAACCCTAAGAACGTTTTTTGTGGGACTAATAAAAGGAATTAAAGGTCCCATAGGCAGTGATTGCCTCCCTGGTAAGAGTGACGTGACCAACATTCCCTGAACTTTGCCCAACCCTCTTCCCAACAGGGAGGAGATGGGAAAAGGGCAGTGAGGAAATCCCTAAGGAACTGGAGCAGGATGGGCCCGGGAAGGGGATATGAAGGACTGTGACAGGGAATGCTGAGGCCATATCCCTGGATAGAGAGCAACGACTGCAGGTAGGGCACTGGACTAGGGCTGTGCCGTGCAGGGCAGTGACTGATCCAATGCCAGGCAGCTCCAGTTTCCAGGGGAAAGCACTCCCTGGTGCTGCTAATCCCCCTAATAAGCCCTTTCATACACACACACAATGTCCCCCAGCCCATCCACCCCATCCCGCATTTAGGGAGAGAGATTGGCAGAACCGTGGAAGGAACCCCTGTCCCCGCAGCCACAACCATCCTTCTCCCAGGGAGGAGCCCAGCTTGGTGACATCTCTGCCTGCTGGGGACCCCAGCTGGGTCCCCCTGTCCCTCCAGGCCCTCCTGTGCTCCTCACCTTTCAGAAGCTCAGCTCGGAGCTGGCACCTGGGGAGAGGATTCAAGACCTTCACCGCCGGCGCCTGGGGATGCACTGGGCCTGTGGAGGATGGGAACAGGCATTTTGAGTGATGCCACCCAAAAAGCTTGTTTCTTCCTGGCTTCATGGGAGGGGGAGGAGGAAGAGGAAGTCCATCATATCCAAGCCTGGAAGCAGGCATGTGCCCACTTGTTTCAGCATTCCCAGCAAGGAGGGGACATGGGGAAGCCACCCAGTTCATCCCACCCCACCTGCTGAACAGTAGATGTGTCCCCATCCCAACCCCCTGAGCCTGACAACCGAGTCCCTGTCACCATGATGTGGGCCAGGCTGGGATTCAGGATGACTCGGTGGCCCTGAGAGCAGTAGGACTACCTTGGCCAGCAGGACTGGGGGCTTTGGGGGCCCCAGAGCCGGGCAGGTCCTCCAGCAGGAGCCTGGAGATGCCGGTGAGGATGTCAGAGATGGGCTTGATCACATGAGCCACATCAAACTCCACGGGGACCAGTGCCTCTGGGCTCTCCAGAGGTGGGAGAAGGGGGAACTCCTGTGGACAGACACACAGACAGCCATGCACCAGCCTGGGGAGGACTGTGCAAATCCATGTGCACACACTGTGACTCCCCAGTGGGTGACAGCGGGATCACAGCACTGCCCACACAAATCCCACCAGAACAGCTCTTCCCCACAGCCCCATCACATCCCTGAGCCAGGCTGAGGATGTGTTCCCCCTGGGAAAGGGGCTGAACACACCTCTGCCCTCACTGAAAGGGTGCAGGGCTGGCAATGCCCAGGCACAAGAAGGGACACAGCGTCAGGATGGTACCTGGAGGAAGGTCCTGTGGTCAGGGCAGGCCAGCAGGCTCTGAGCCCTCTCCCTGTGCTGGCTGAGGACATCCAGCCTGTCCTTCAGGAGGCTCCAGTTCTCCTCCACGCGCCCCAGTGCCACCACCTGCTCTTGCTCGATCCTGGCCACCGACTGACCCTCGAAATCCTCCAGAGATTTCTTCAGGTGGGACAATTTGCTCTGGATCTGAGATTTGAGCTCCTCGGAGGAGTCCTGGGTAGGGAAGAGCCATGAGAGCCAGTGTGCTCCCACCCACGTGCCCAGCACAGAGGTGGCCACAGCACTACCTTGATGCTGCGTGTTTGCTCCTCCAGCTCCCGCATCGCCCGCTCAATCCGCTTCGATTCCTCCTGCGCTTTTTCCAGGGACTCTTTCAAAATGATCTGTGAAGAGAGGCACCAATACAGAATCAAAAGACCCCCAAGGTCATTAAGTCCAACCTTTGGCTGAACACCACCAACTAATCCACAGCACTAAGTGCCATGCCCAGTCCTTTCTTCCAGTTGTGTCCCATTGCATATCCTGCAGTACAGCACTGCTGCCCACCTGGCCCCCAGGAGCCCTCTCAGGGCTGCAGGACAAGGCTAATGGGGAGGGAGAAGCCTTGGGAAGGGGACACTGCATCAGGGTCACCAAGAAGTGATTTTCTGTGCTGTCTTTCACCTCTTTTTTATCTGTTTTCTCTAGATCAGAGGATCATAAACACATGTATCACCGTTCATCCAGCGCTGCTGGATTTACCCAGCTCGCTGCTGCTCCTGACAGCACCTGGTTTCTCAGAGAGCAGCAGGGCACTGGTGGCACCTCCTGGCAAACCCCCTGTTCAGCTTAGGCCGAGCACAACCTGGCACCCGGAGGCACATCACATCCCCCTAGCAGGGCACGGGGCAGTGAATGCCCGAGCTGCTGTGACTCCCCTTGCTCGCTCTCCCATCGCCCCATCCCTGCCGCCCATCGTCCCCACCTGCTTTTTGGACCGTTCCTTCTCGAAGAGCTCCAGCCGGTGCCCCTGGCACTGCCGGACGATGCAGACGCAGCAGATGCAGCGCCGCTCGTCCTCGCAGTACAGCTCCAGCGGGCGCCCGTGCTGCCGGCACAGCTCGCCCGGGGCCACCTCGCACCTCCCCGCGCCCGCGCCCCGCGCGTCCCCGTCCCTCGCCAGCTCCACCACGCTGTACAGGGTGACGTTCTTCTCCAGCTCCGGGCACTGCTCGAAGTCCCTGCGGCACTCGGGGCATGTATAGCCCTTCTCGGCCCCGGCGGGCGCCCGCTCTTGCTTGTGCCAGTGGTCGCTGATGCAGCGCTTGCAGAAGTTGTGGCCGCAGGGCAAAGTCACGGGCACCCTGAACAGGTCCAGGCAGATGGAGCACACCAGCTTCTCCTCCAGCTTCAGCGAGACGAGGGATGCCATCCTGCCTGTGCCGGGGATCGGGGCGAGGAGCCGGGGAAACAGAAACTCAGCTGTGCAGGGGAGGAGGAGATGGTGACGCTGTGCCCGGAGGCGGGTCAGGGCTCCCAGCCGGACGTGCTCTTAAAGAGACACCCAGTGGGTGCCCGCTGGCCACGCTGGGTGTGCCACACGCTGGGGAGACGAGGTGACAGGGAGGGTTGGAGCTGCTCCCCTCGGGGAGAGGGAGGGCTGTGAAGCAGAGCAGGAGGCTCTGGAGAGGATGGAATGCTGCAGTGGCAGCACAGGGACACACGCAGGGGGCTGACAGGGATCAGATCAACGTGACCTCCGTGAATGTGCTTGCACAGGTATATATCGATGTGCAGCTGGATTTCATTCTTTTATTGCCCTTTCAGGGAACTCCCAGGCATCCTCACCTCTGCCAGGGCTGGATCCCCTAGCACAGCACGGCAGCTCCCCCTGGCACAGAGACCTCGGTAGAGTGAGAACCAGCAGAGAGAGGCACCCACCGCTGCTGCAGCCACGTGTCACCTCCCTCTGCAGCGACACGGCTGTGACACACCCGCACCAGCCAGGGCCACATTCCACCCTTGCATCGTTCCATTTTGAACTCCAGCTCCTGCTGTTTGCGCATGTCCCCGTGCACACCCACCACACCTTTTCCTACGAACTTCCTTGCAACACCCATGTGCATCAGCACCCTGAAACACAACAAAGATGTCACCTGGGCCACCAGTCCCTGCTCAGGGGGCAGGTGGAGCCTTCTGTGTGAGTGTCTGTGCACTGCACACCTTCACCTTGTCACACAGTTCAGTTTCAGGAGGAGCACCACCCAACCCTTATCTCTGTACTCTCTGCTGTGCTACTGCTTGCACGCACTCCCAGGCTGCTGACACTGCAGGATAACCTCACTTGGCAGCAGCTCTGCAGCCTCCCCTCATGAACAGCTTCACTTTCACCTGCACAGGTGAGGGGAAGCAGGGAGCAGGCCTGTGGTGCAGCCAGGGTGCTCACCAGGGGGCTCTTGGATTGTTGGAGCAGCTTCTGTACCACAGGTAGGCTCAGAGCCACCCCCCAGACCACCCCTGGGACCTGTCACAACTCCCTGCACGTTCCAGCAGAGCTTCAGTCCCCAAGACATTTCCTTGGGCTGGATCTACAAATTCTGACCAAATGTTCAAAGCTCAGAGAAGGGCATAACACAACCTGTGGGCACCCCTCCAACACCCTCCCCCAGGCTTAAACCAGACCCCAGAACTCTTCAGGATGGGAGGGGAGTTCAGGGAGCTCCAGGGAAGCTGTAACAACCTGGAGTACGAGCAGTAAGGGGACACTTCAGCCCAGTCTCAGGTGTTTGCTGGAGGCTTTCATTTCCTGAGGAAAAGAGGACCTGCAGAGAAAGTCACTGGGAAGCAGAGCTGGGAACAGGCAGCTTTAACAGCAGGAGCACGTTGGTATTTTGGGGATTAAACATGTGAACAGGGAGAGCCCTGGAGAGCACAGCAGAAAGCAGAGGAACTCCACAGCCTCGGAGCAGGACCAGCAGCAGCAGTGCCAGGACACCACCACAGGTCTGCCCCAACCCCAGCAGCTGTGCTTGTGCTCCACCTGTCCACACCAGGTACATCCTGTCCAGGGAGTGAGGGGAAGGACACTGAGGTCCATGTGCTTGGGCAGCTGAAGCCAGATCCACAAACACTGACCTTGTGCAGGTTTACCACCTGTGTAGCCAAACACTTCCCAACCCACAATATCCAAGAGGGAAAGTGGTCCCAGCCAGGCGAAGGGCTGCCCTTCTCCCCTGCACCCTGCTGAGCTCCCCAGCTCTGTGCCAGCTGGCTGGGATAACAGGCTCTTCCCAATAAAGACAGCTCTGCCAACACTTCTCAGAGTGTGTTTAATCAGGCTCATCTCTCCAAGGGGACTGCACAAATAAAGGCTGACACAGCCCTGAACTGCAGCGCTGTTAAGAGGAGGAAATCCAGGCTGGCCTGGCTCTGTTTGTTCCCTAAACAGGCAAAAGGAGAACTGTGATCCGTGCAGAGAAGCAAGGCAGGGCATCTCTGGGGGGACTCTACCCTGCCAGCCACTGATCAGCTCTGCTGCAGAATCGGGAGCAAGATTTCAGCCTGGATTCACTTCGAATGTCCTCGTTAAGCAGCCTCTTGACCATGCAGCTCCAGCACTGTGAGCACCTGCTGCCCTTGCCTGCCTTTCCCAGGGGATCTGGGAGCTGAGGGGCTGAGACTTTGTCACCTCCCTCCAGAGGCACTGAGGGAGTGCACAAAGCTGGGAGGCAGCATCCCAGTGGGCACAGAGCGCTGGGAGGGGGCCAGCTCCTAGTAAATGCCGTAGGTGGGCTCCTCCGTGTCCCGGTACCTGTCCAGGTACCTCAGGGGCTGCTGGCGCGGGAACTTCAGCTGGCGAGGGTGGTACACGGGCGGGCGCACGAACTCGAATATCGGCTCCCTCATGTCTGCAAAGGAGGGACCCACAACCTCAGCACGAGGCCTCAGATCCCAACCCAGGCCCCCTTCCACCCCCACGGGAACAGGGCTGCTCATTCCAAGCAGCCTTTTAGAGGTTGTTCCCTCAGATTGCCGTTTGGAGGAGGGTGGCTCAGGGAGGACCCAGTCCATGCCGATCCCAGACACATCCCAGGCCTGAGCGAGAGCCTGCAGCCACATGGGATCGTGTCCCACCCGCCCCTCCAGCATCCCCACACACTGCATTCATTCCTTACTGAGCAGCTGATGGAAGATGGAAGTGACAGAGCTGTCCCACCGACACTGGAAGAAGGCCAGCCCTGCCGGGGTCATGGCATCCTCGTGCTTTCTGTAGAAGTCAAACGTGCTGAAGGTTCTCATCTTGAGGCTGTAGCTGGAAACAAGACACAAGCACAAGGGCTGAGGTGAACCTCTCCCTGCAGCAGCATCTTGGGAGGCAACTACTGCTCCACATCACCCCAGAGCCTATGAAACATAGGGAAAATGGAGCCAGCAAAAGGAAATCTCCCAGTGTCTCCAGCTCTGTGCACATTTCTGCCCCAGTCCAGTTCCACAGCAACAGGACTCTGTAGGGCTGGGATTGTGGCTGCAAGGGACACACAAACCCAAAGCAGCCCTGGAGAACCCTGTGGAGTGATAGGAACTGCCCTCCTACCGCAGTGACAGGCAGATGAACACAACAAGCAGCAACAGCAGAATTACCACGGTGTCGGCCGAGTGTCCTCGCGGAAGTCGATGGGATGGTCTTGCTTGAAGAGAAGGAAGATGAAGCGATGGTAGCCAGTCCCCATGGCAGGGAAGGGGGGCAGGTAGTGGCAGATCTCCTTTCCTGACTTGATGTCATTGCCTGGGATGTTGGTTCTGAACACAAAGACATTTACTTTGCTGTGTATCCACTCGTTTCCCTCCAGCAGATTCACCCAGGGTTGCGAATCGCTCTGCCACGTTTTGAGGTGACTTCTGCCCCATTTGATAAGGGAACAGATAGCAGAGGCTGCTTTCATTGGAGGAAAAATCCCATCCAGTGATTGCAATGCCAAACAGCAGCAACACCTGGAACTCCTGCATCTTCAGCAGGACCCAGAACAGGGGGCTACAGGAGCTCATGGCAGGGGCACCAGGGAAAGCCACGGATTCCCAAGCTGTTGGGGGAGTTCCTGCCCACACCCTGAGCACAGGGCATGTGGCTCTGTTGTACTCACATCAGCCAGTGCAGGTACTCCGAGTCTGTGTCCCTTAGATGTCCATCTGCCAACACACAACAGAGAAAGGTGACTTAGGGACCCCCTGGTGTTTGCATTGACCCCAAAGTGAGAATGCTCAGACCTGCTTTGATCAGAGGGAGCACCTTGAAACCTCCCAGCATTCCTTTCCTATCACAAAAGGAGCTCATTGCTATAGGATTGAGTTTAAAATGAGGAGCAAAGAACTCTGCAGATCTAATTCTGAGATTCTTGGAATATTCTCAGTCGGCTGCTTCCCTTCACTGTGCCTTGGTTTCTCAGGGTGAACAGTGTCAGCAAACCTGCCTTCCAGGCAGACTGACAAGGGAGAGGAATTTTGGGATGGGAGTCAGGGAATTGTTGGTGTGATACAGGTCCTGTTGTGTCACTGTTCTCTCTCTTAACTGCTACAGATATGGGGAGGCTACAGTCTTGCCTACATATTACATGTCCCTCCCTAGCAGATATCACATCACCTTTGACTATGCAGCCAAAAGAAACAGGAGTTAACCAAAAGTAGAGTGAAACAACCCAGTTTAAATGTGGTTTTTTTAAAGAACTCTCTGCTTACCTGGATTTGTGAGCAACAAAGTCCAGAGGGAGCCTTTATCTGCCTCGTATGACACTGCAGGGGGACTGGAAGCCTAAAAGGGCAACATAAAGAGAAGGTAAATCACTCAAACAACAGATTCCATGAATTTGTCACAGGCAAGGCTCGAAAACAACAAAGACTGGGCACAGCCAGGCCACTGGAATCCAGCTCCACCTGGATTGCCCCCAGAGCATTAATAACCATCAGCCTGCTAACAGACAACCATCCTGCTGCAAATATCTGTCCTTATCAGGTCCATCAAATACATTTCCTTCAGCACAGAGGAAATACTGCAGTAAAAGGAACACTGGAAGCATCTGACAGAAACAGACAGACAGGAACAGGCCTCCCACGGGGTCCAGGCTGTTCCCAGCCCCCCTCACGCACCTCTGACGGAGTCACCATGTTCCCATAGTAGACTGGCACGAGGTACTCATCCTCTTGGCTGTAGTGCACCCTCAGGGCCACCCATGGGGTGAAGGTGGCCCCCTTGAACAGGTCCCTGAACACCCCGCAGTGCTCGGCCACGCGCTGCTTGTGGAACGGGCCGCTGGTCCTCTCCCACTCTGCCCTCACCTCATCGAGGGGAATGAGCACTGCAGGGAAACAGGAAGGCTGCAGAGGCACAGCTGGGCACTGGGGCAGCCAGGGCAGGGAGGGGGTGGTGGGGCACTGACCCGTCTGGAGCCGCGCTGCTCTCTCCATCTCAGCGTTCTGGCGGTTCCCCCTCAGGATCACCTTTCTC